AGGCTAGACAGTCACTTGTCTGAGGTGGTATAGGCTCTCTTGCTTGAGCAGAGGGCTGGACTAGAAGACCTCCAAGGTCCCATTCTATTCTATTCTATTCTATTCTATTCTATTCTATTCTATTTCATCCCATCCTGTCCCATCCCATCCCACTAACTTAACAACTGCAGTGATTCACTTAACAACTGTGGCAAGAAAGGTCGTAAAATGGGGCAAAGCTCACTTGCTTAGCAACAGAAATTTTGGGCTCAATTGTGGTCGTAAATCATGGACTACCTGTATTTGATTTAGTTTGACTTAATATAGTGCAAATGTTTATTCTGCAGGCATTGCTCACCTGTTAAAAACTGCTAGCGGACATAACTTTTTCAGCTTGTGCCCCTGTGTTTAAGTGGAGTAACTAGAGATTGAATTAATCCCACAGTTTCTATTCCATGGGTTCACCTGAGGAAAGCAGGAACCTCAGTTTAAAGCGACGTTCTTACCCTATTTCCTGGCTTGATCTGATAAATCAGAGTACCCGATGCATATCCAGTTTGGCACCCAGTCTGTGCAAAAAATGGCCTTGCCCAGAACATATAAGCATTTGGAGTTAAATTGCTACCATTAGCCCCATTTTGTAAGGAAGTGCTCATGTGTTTCTTTTTAATATTGCCATTTGTTTGGTTTTGTTTATTCTGTTCCATGCATGATTTCCTTGGTAGCTATAAGGTGATTTTTCACTGGAGTTTTGTTTGTCTGTGTGCGTGTTTGTGTGTGTGGAATTGCTCTCCAGGCAGGGGAGACTATCTTCTCCAATGACTGCTCCGAGAAGAGCACTTGCCACCCATCTAACCAGCTCATCCGTGTCAAGAATCGCTGTGGTGTGGGAGAGACTTGTATGCTCACAGCCAAGGGGTATGGCTGCGTAAGACAGGAAGGCCATTGCACTCTCAGCCCCGAAACATGGTTCAGCTCCTTTGATGGTGTCCAAGGGAAGCTTATCACCAGTGGTGTTTACAAGCTGGCATCCTATTGTGATGAGGACTCACCCTCCTGGTTTAAACTGGTGGTGGACATCAATGATTGCAACGATGACATGGTGCCGGCTGCTACCGCCATCTACGTCTTCTTCCGGGAAGCGTTCATCACAGTGATTAATTTCAAGGAGACTTGGGTAAGCTGTTGCCCACAATGGGTTAATGTGATCACCCATTTGCATCTTTCCCAGCCAGCTTTCAGTGAGCAAAAGTCAATGGGGGAAGCTAGATTTGCTTAACGGCTTCATGATTTGCTTAAAAACCATTGCAAAAAAAGATGGTAAAATTGGGTGCCACTCACTTAACAACTGCCTTGCTTAGCAACTAAATTCTGGTCCCAATTGTCGCCATAAGCAGAGGACTACTTGTATTTAAGTCCATTATAAACCCACAACAACAGAGTCTTGAGCCCAAGAATCCTCACGTTCCATGTCTCTATTGCTTTCCTTTCAGGTCAATGGACTTTTGGTCCAGCTCCCCCATAACATCTCTTCAGCCATCTCTATCACTGAAGCTCAGGACGGCATCACCATCCGTCAAAACTCCCAGCTCCAAGTTCTCTACAGTCCCAGTGGCAAAGTAACAGTGAAGGTCACCAGTAACATGGCAGGGAAGTTATGTGCCCCTTGTGGGAACTTTAACAACGAAGCTTCGGATGACTTAAAGCTACCTAATGATCAGATTGCGGAGAACATTGCTGAGGTTGTCGAAGCTTGGAAGGCCAGGGATTTCTTAGGATGGTAGGTAATGCTGTCTGCAGCTTGTGACCTTTTAAAAATAAAGCAGTTTTATCCAGGCTTTGTTGAAGAAACTATGGGTAAGTCCTCAATGTAGAACTGTAACTGAGCCCACCATTACAGTCATAAGTTGTGCCAGTTGCTAACTGGGTCACCATGAGATTGTGCCTGACATTACAGTCTTTTAGCAGTGATTGTAAGCAACTCTATTGTCCACAATGGACGATTTTTGCTAGAAATTGGACAAAAATATCAAATTGCAGTCATGTGACTGTGGGACACTGCTAATGGCCATAAATATAGGACAGTTGCTGAGTGCCAAAACATGATCATGTGACTGCAGGGGGATACCCTCGGCTTTCAGAATTTTAAATCCAGGTTATAAGTAGTCCTGGGAAGCTCCATCGTAACTTTGAACGGTTCCTAAGCAACCGGCCATAAATCAAGAACTACTTGTAGTTTAGTATCATGTGAACCCCCTGTTGGCCACTACCTGCAATGACTAAACAGCAGTGAAGAATTTCTATTCCCATACTTAGTCTTTCAAAATAGAAAAAATGTAATACATAGGCTCAGATTGAACCTTCATAGTGAACTGGTGAAAAGAGGCCCCCAAGAATGTGAAACTAGCTCTATATAGCAATAGTAATAGCACTTAGATTTATATACCACTTCATAGTACTTTAAAGCACTCTCTAAGTGGTACACAGAGTCAGCATATTTCCCCCAGCAATCTGGATCCTCATTTTACTGACCTCAGAAAGATGGAAGGCTGAGTAAACCTTGAGGTAGTGTGAATCAAACTCATGAGCATGGGCAGAATTAGCCTGCAATCCTGCATTCTAACCACTGCGCCACCACGGCTCTATAACTTGGTCTTCTGCTTCCTTCCACAGTTACTAATTCCCAAGAGAACTGATGCTGTTTTGAATGGTAAGTGATTCTCCAGAATACAGTTGCTCCATCACGGACATAATCTGAATTACAGAGATATAGTATCTAAATCATCAGACTTTGGACTGGATTTTTCCTCCTTAAGTCTTCTTCAAACAAAAGACGGTAGAGTGGATAGCAGGAAATACCCAGGAGAATACATTTGGTGTTTGATATATTAATATACAATCAATTATTAAGTCTAGTAGACAAGAATGGAATCCCCATATGAAACAGTAGCATATAATAAGCAGATTGCTATCATCTTAATGGCCTGTAGACTTCCCATAAGCATCTGTCTGTCTACTGTAAGAACTACAAGAAGCTTTTATCATAAGCTTTATCTTTAACAGGTCCAATTGCTTTGTGAATATCAGTGGGAACTCCACATCTGATACCCTACTGGCATCTTCAGAACCCAAAATGTGCAAAGCTATTGCTTTTAGCAAGCAAGCATTATAAATTAATACACACGCTATAAATCCTTTGATATCGCTCATATATTTATGCAAACCCATTTTCTTAAGTACTTCTGGATGTATTTGTGTGAAATATCTCCACACACATATGCAATATTTAAAGGAGAAGAGGGGATTATGTTGTATTCGGGATGGAAATACCACCGATGGTTCAGAATGAACAACCGTGTTACTACTTGCCCAGTTCCATATCCATTGCTGAGGAATATGCATTCACCCATAATGTGATTTCATTGGATACTAGCTTAATCTTTCTAAACACGATGGGAGAAAACTCAAGCAAATATAACATTCCCCAGAATCCTCTTCTCTCTTGTATTGTAGAGGTTGCATTCACATAAAATCCTTAGCCTGGTGCTTGGTACAAACCTAATTATTTTTCATCAGCACAACATTCTCAGATCAGACTGAGTGGGAACCAGCCTTTGTAGCCTTAAATTCTCTTTCTTTCCCATAGATTGCTTCCTGTTCCAAGGACAGACCAGCTGTGATCCCTCTCTTGCCATTAGACATCTTCAGATGTCACTTATTAGGAAGGAACCTCAAGGGAGCATGACAGAACTACATTTACTTCCTCCCCACTATTCAGAGAGCATCTACTACTACCCTATTCCAACTCCACTTGTTGATTCATCTTGATATTGTGGCCAAAGTCCATTGCTACCAACTTTACTACTNTCTCTCTCTCTCTCTCTCTCTCTCTCTCTCTCTCTCTCTCTCTCTCTCTCTCTCTCTCTCTCTCTCTCTCTCTCTCTCTCTCTCTCTGTGTGTGTGTGTGTGTGTGTGTGTGTTTCTGTCTCTGTCTCTGTCTCTGTCTCTGTCTCTCTCTCTCTCACACACACACACACACTTCTTGGAAAGCATGAATGCCATCAGCTCAATCTTGCCAAAATTCTCCCTTCTCACTATGTAGAAGGAATGCCATTTAAATGTGTTTTCTGTGTCAGGTATGTGCTTACACACAGCGGGAAGTGTCAAATAGCACATCCAATGTTTATAGGATGCTCATCTCTGGATTAGGGCACTTTCCACTTCCCAATCCATTATAAAGCAGTTTAAACGCAACAGGAACAGAGACAGTCTGTAAAGAACATCAAAAGTGACCGGAGTCCAAACTTGGGCAGGCCAATAACAGAATGTAAAGAACAACTTCTACTGAGTATCCTGCCTCCTCTGGACTATCAAAAATGGTGGAGTAACAAAAATCCCTATGCACCCCATGCCATACAAATGGGAAATAAAATAAATTACTAGTGTGCTTGATCCATTGATCATGGTTTGCAAAAATCTGAGCAGTTACTATGAGGAAAAGCTTTCAGTTCCAAACCACCATTCCTATGTAACATTTAAAAGTCATGAATTGTGAAGATGAAATTATAGTATGTTAGCAGCCAGATTGATTTCTTCCCAAAAGTTGTCCCAATGGTTTATGTGGGAGTGAATGGAAGAAGAGAAAAATCAAAACAATGCATATGTACAAGCTTCAGGAACAAAAATGTTCCAAAACTGAACCACTTACACAGCTTAAATTTCATTTCATCAGTTGTTTCTCAAGCAGCAATTCTTATTTTTTCAAATGACTCCTTTGCTATTCATTGCTGAGCTGTATGGCATCAAAATTCTAGTCCAAAGGAAATACTTTGTTTCAATTTTTAGACTTTATAAACTAGAAAGCATGATTTATCTCTTTATCATGCCTTAATTTAAAAAAAAAATCATAATCAGCAGCCTTACATGATTTCGGCCCCAGGATGCTGTACTGTGGACAAAATGACTTCCCCAGAAACAATTCTGCAGATATAGATATAGATATATTTTATTGACATATTTTTGTGTTTTTACAGTGCCTTCTTGAGGTTTTGCAGATAAACCGTCTCTAAGGGCAGAGCAGCAGTGAGCCACAGTCACTCGTGGAGGTTGATGGTCTGGATCGAACTTTTGAATTACTGCTTGCTAGAAAAGGGAAAGAAAAATAAGGTGGATTACTATAGACTCCATAGCTCCACAGCTCCACAGCTGCTTTCTTGCTAAAAAGTGATGCTCAAGAGGGTTAATACTGGCAAGAACCCAGTTAGAGCATCTAAGCAGCCAAAGCAGCTTACAAACCCAAAACCAACCTGAATAAGAACATCTCGGGCTATGTGGTGTTTACAATCAGAAATTCTTAAAACAAGACAAAAGCTACTGGGAATCAACTTTCTTTGGCACAATGGTGCTGAGGCCACCTTGGCCTCAATTAGCACTCTACATCCTGAATTTTGAAAGGAAAGCACCCACAATTTTTTTTCTGTACATCTAAGAGCAACATTACAGGAAAAAAAAATCAGAAAACCAGATCAAGAATATTGGGAAAGTGTTTAATGGAGCTTTTGGAAAATATGGAGATTGCTAGACTTAGACTCATTGAGTATTATATTGAACCATATTGATTTGACCATGGATGGCTGCTTCAATGCCATGAAAAAAAGAAAGGAATTCCATGCCTCCTATATGCAGATTGACACTTTGAATTTAAGGCAGTTTCAAGCTTATTTAAACATCATTTGCTCTGGGGCCAGAAACGTACACTTTAATGCATTTGAATCTGTGGTATCTCATTTCCTATACCATATTACATATGCTCCTGGGTTATTGGAGATCTCATTACAATTAGACTCATTGCTTTACATTTTTAGCATTGTTGTAGGATCTTTGTGGATTGCTGGGCTGACAGACTGCCTTCTGGCTATTTCTAATTGAAAAGATTGGTCTACCGCTACAAGCACAAGTAAATTGGATAGGAAAACTGCCTCCATTTCAGCTAAGTTTCAAAAGCCTTTGCCAATAAATCTCTTGTCTTCTTTCATTTCTGCCTCCATTTCTATCAATCATCTCTATCCCTCTCTATCTCTATCTCCATCACTATATCATCTCTATCCTTCTCTATTTCCATCACTATCTCTATATCATCTCTCCCTCTCTATCTCCATTGCTATCTCTATCATCTCTATTCTCATCTATATCACTTCTCTAGCATCTCTACCATCTCTATCTCTCATTTCTATCTCTCTACAACAGTGGTTCTCAACCTTTATAATGCCGCGACCCCCAACCGGTCGTAAGTCGAGGACTAAACTGGTCGTAAGTCGAGGACTAAACCGGTCGTAAGTCGAGGACTAAACTGGTCGTAAGTCGAGGACTATCCAACCGGTCGTAAGTCGAGGACTTTCCCTGCCCGGGAGCGCCGTGCATGCGTGGTTCCGCCCCCTGCGCTGGCCGAGGCATAGCTGGCAAGCGGCAGAGACGGAGCAGGCCGACCACCAGCTGGCCCAGCCCAAGGGAGGTAAGGCACCCACCGGAAAAGGGGAAAAAAATGGTGGACAAAAAAATGGCGGACAGCTTTGCTTGGCGACCCCCCATGAAATGGTCGATCGACCCCAAATGGGGTCGCGACCCATAGGTTGAGAACCGCTGCTCTACAATCTCTATATCTCTAGCTGTATCATCTCTGTCTCTGTCCCTGTCCCTATCTCTATTATCTCCTAGCCTTTTGCAGGAAGAATCTGATAGCTACTGGATGGGAGAGCAGGAAAAAAAAGAGGAAGTGATTGGCCCAAAGAGGGGCAAATCATTCCCTCTATTCATATTTGGCTTTGCCCACTCCGACCTCTGTCTTTGGCTCCATCCACTCATTCTTAGCAGATTGTCCCAATGGGAACACAATTCTGGACAAGGAAAAAACACTCTAGCTGTGCACGCCTAAATCAGAGAATGAATGACTAAAGCATTACCGGTAACTTACCAGTTGACGAAGTCTCTGGCCTTCCATGCATCAATCACCTCAGAAATGTCCCCTACAACTTGACCATTGGGTAGCATAAGGTCATCAGAGATGTCGCCATTGAAGTTTCTGCAGGATCCACATAGCTTGCCTGCCAAGCTGTCTTTGACCTTCACGGCCACTTCTCCTTTGATGTCAAAGAGAACCTGAAGAGCTGTCCCATGTCTAATTGTGACAACATCTTCAGAGATGGTTACAGACACAGTTTTAAAAAGGGAAGCTGGGAGTTCCACCTGCTGCCCATTCACCTGAACAGAAAGTGATCATGGAATGTGTTAAGTTTATTGAAATGCTGCATCTTCAAATGAGGATTTAAAAACTGGGGGGGAATGGTCTAATCAAAGGTGGGTTATAGCAAGATTAGCCAGAATTGCCC